AGGCTGTGTGTCAGACAAGTAAACAAATGATAATGTGTTCTGCAGAGTACAAAGCACCAAGATAAGGACCTGCCCTGAAATGTTGGTAATCTAAGGCACCAATCTTGCATATGTTGTGTTCTTTCCAATATGAGAGGCACTTAAATTTAAGATGCGCTCAAAGTCAATGATGTTCCATTTAAGAAAAATAAAATATTAAATAAAGACACAAGTACAAATATACAGCCCTCTGTGATGCATAGAAGGATTTTTGTATTATTTGAATTTCAATATGCAGATCACTTTTAGAAGAAATATTTTATTTTAAATTTGAAGGTATACAGTACTTTATACCTATGCAACAGTAATGGATCCATACTTAACTTTGTGTTACAAGGTTCCATTTTAATGGTAACTTGGGATTTCTGTTTTGTCAAAATCCCATTAAAATGTCAAGACTTAAAACGTAGACTGTTATCTGAGGCTATGGACTAATGAGCACATGAAATGCTTGAGTGCTGTGCAAATATACAGGCTCCTCTCAGCTGAAGCACTTCAAAATGTGATGAAGCAAGGAGTCGGTGAACGTGAATCACAGCACGTTCCTTGGTTTTTAAGCCAAGATCACTGTAGGATTCTGAAGATGGATGAATGCAATGCAACGTTATGGCTATTTCACCGTCAGGCTTCTGCTTGGGACTTATTGCCTCTGCAGAGCCGGGGAGGTTCACCTGCACTGCCTGTCCTGTAGAAGTGCAGAATGCTGTCTTTTTGCTTTCTAGGCTCTCGCAGGGAGTGCCATGAAGTTCTGGTTCTACTCTCCTGCTAATGTCTGTCTTGACCTTTCTAAATGTTGACTCTGTTTGTCTACTAGCTTACCTTCTGCAGCATGGCAGTTGGAGCCACCGTGGTCCCTGTGAAGGACTATGGGTGTTATCGTAATATTTCTGTTTAAAATGTGTTTGTGTTGTTATAATGTCTTGTGCCTTAGTTTATCCAACTAGCTTCTACCTAGAGAAAAACTAATTAATATGTCCCTGCTGTTAAGAGAGCTGCCTATGTGTGGGACCTGAAGATAAACCTCAAGCTCGAATAGAGATTTGAACAACTTTGTTGATTTGCTGGTGACACCCAGGAAGCCTCAGGAAAGCTATATGAGATCAACATGATAATGGATAGAGCTAATGTCTGCTTCTAGATAGCGGTCTAAAGGATCAAGTAGAGCAGATTTTCTGGGACTCAAGAGCTGGGCAGACTGGAAAAGGAAATGCTTTGGAGTATTCATGGTTATGTGGGCTGGCTTGGGGACAGAGGGATTGCTTAACCCTTTGGAGGAAGTAGAAGACCTTTGGCTTGGGTATACTTGCCCAAACACATGCCTTTTATTCAGGAAGAGCTGTCTCTTGCTATTTGGGACTTCAAATTGTGCTTGTTCTCCCCAGTAAGAAGTAAAATTCCTCCCTCAGGAGTTGAACTAGATGCTGGCTGTTTGAGTTAAGGCCAGAGAACAGCCAGGGATAATTGATAACTGAAAGGCCAGGGATCCAGCTCCTGCTGTAGAAGCCATGCCTGGGCTAATTTTAGGGGGATGCACCTGGAGATCAGACAAGGCTGTAGAGGTCCTGAGCAAACACTTCCCATAGAGGGGACTGTGTGATGGTCCCTCAAAGTACAGCTTGAGGGCATGCCAGGAGCTGCATGCCAAAGGGAATAGAAATAAGGGATACCATAGAGGATGGATTTCTTTGGAACTACCACCAGATGATGCACCAACATTTTTGAACCAGACACGAGCAGAAATTAGTTCTGGGATGATGCACAGTGGGGGCAGAACTTCAGGATGAGCAGGGCAGCCACCTTTCTCACGATACGCATGGAAAATCCAGAGAAAAGCTACTGACCAACCTTTGAGTGTAGAACAATGAATGTTACTTGCCATCTACAAGCTGGCAACCCCTGATTGTCACTGGTCCATCCCCAACCATTTGGCAGGGCAGAGTCCCTGGCTGGCTTGAATACTCAGAAAGTGTACTGCACCATCCAGAAGGTCTTGGTACTGGGCTTCCTCCGCTTCAGTTCACAGGAAGTTATAGCTAGATTTGCCTAGATGGGTTTTCCAGACTGCACTGGAGCATCTGATGGCAACTACATTCCCATTCCCATCCTGTGCCCTGCACATCAAAGCTGGAAATATGTCAACCGCATGACTAGTTCACTCTTCTGTAGGGCATTGTCAACCACTGGAATTTGTTCACCACTGACCACCAAGCAGTTGGGCATGGTGCATGATGCCAGGGTCTTAAGGAACACTAGTTTGGTGCCCCTGTTGATTAGACATTGCATTTATATGCACACTTTGTGTTGTTTCTGCTTTCAGCATGTAGGCAGCAGTATCTGAAAGTAAATGAAATTTGTCGTCTTTTCTGGCAGTAGAGTTAGGCCATAGTAAACATAGAGCCATTCTTAACATGTTCCACTATTGAATGATTTGTTCTCTCCAAGACTCTAAGTCAAAAGGTGAGATTTGCTGGGTTCAGTAGTGAGTTCCCCAACTATCAAATCAGCAGCAGAATGGCTAGTCATCGGCAGTCTCATCTACAGCAATTCAGTTATGACTTTCCCACTATCATTATTAATCTTCTGTGTAGAATTGTGAAGAAGCTGTATGAATATAGTTTTTCCCTTACAGTCAGTTCATTTGGAACATACAGATTTAATTGGTATTTTCCCAAGAAATCACAAAAAAAGGATTATTTAGTCTTTTCCAAGGACTGTTGCTGGACATAGCTCTATGGAGCTCAGCAGCAAAATTGTTTTGCGAAACTAAGCCTTTGTCTAAAGATAGCATGTAGGCTTTTACCTTTCCTTTTCTTAGTAGCTAAATGATTGCTAGTCTTTGCATATTGCTGAATCCAGAACTTTCTATAATGTGGAACCTACTTCCCATATTATTGACAAAAAATAATTTACTGTTGATTTCAGATTCAGCGTCAGCTGCATTGCAGTCCATGGCTATAATAATACGCTTTCACTAGATTTGCCTTTTGGCATCCTTACCAGTAAACAACGCCAGCTGAAAGCTCTTGCATAACTTCAGATTTAATGAAAACTAAAATATCACATAAACAGCACTGTATAGTCTCCACTGGGACAATCCATCCCACTGAAGTTACTGCTTAGGTGAACGTGAGACTACACAGTGATGGGACCACTCCTGGTGGCCTGGGGAGGCCTAAAGGAGAAGAGCAGCCCATCTCATGCTGTAAGGGGATAGGTGTTTAGAAGGGTAGAAGCATTCTGTCAGCACTTGCTGGGGCACATGGGGATCCGAGTGGAAGAGATCAGTAGGCAAACCTTGGGAAATGCCCAGCATATGTTGTGCAGTATTTGGGGGGTTCCAGTTAAAAATGAAGAATGGAAAGTTTGGGAAAATAAAAATAAATAAATAAATAAATAAAATGTATTGAGAGGTTAGGATCATGAAAACCAGATACGCAGGCATAATGAAGTGCTAAGTTGCTTGTTTGTTTGTTTTTTTTTCTTTTGAAAAAAAAATAGATTTTCCTTCAAAAGGCAAATATATGCCTTTTAAAGTATTATCATCATAATACACTAATCCCTCAAACATGCCTCAATATGCATTTTCAAAAATACATATTTGGTGCTGTATTTATACAAGTAGTGTTTTAATCAAAGTTCTGATGGTCTGCATAGCTGAGAAGAGTGTGTTTTCATATACATCTTATGTCTATGATGTGGGGAGCATTTGTCCATAGGACTACCTGCGTAAAGCTGAAAGGGGTGACTTTTATTTACCCCTTGTTTCTCTGGGACCTAGCCTACCCATTCCTCATGTGGGTCATGAGGCCGTACACCAGACACTTGGATGATGGTGGCTGAGCTGGCTGAGCAGCTACAGTATGATTGTGGAGTGTATCTTTGAGAACCTCAAGACATGGTGGATGGCACTGGGGGTGGATCTGGATGCTACCAAGTGGCACCTGCTTTGGATAATCATTTCTGCCTGTGCTACACATGTTTGCATCCAGGAGCAAGACCTTCCTGGAGGCCTAGGAAGCAGATGCCCAGA